CTTTAAAATGTAGTCATTTTACTGTATGTCTCTAGAGATAGAAGAACCTAAAAAACAGTAACAAAAATCTTAAAACTATTTTCAGTAATCATATGGTTCATAGCTATTCTGTATGTACTGGAGATAGAGCAAATGAATATTGCACTGTATCACTGATAACCAAGATTTTACCTATGAAGAAAAAGAGATGAAAGAAAGATCAAAAGCTTCAACTAAAAATCTTGTAGTATTGAATTTGAATTAGAAGTGTCAGCATATATTCATAATACGTTTCATCTGCTAAATATATGTCATATAAATAATTAAGTATATGTGCATGTATTTCCTAGTTCTCTGTCTACTGAAGGGTCTAGAAATAGTGACAGAGTAGCAAGGATCATCTACAGTATCTACACCGAGGTTTCCAAATGTCATTTTCTACTATACAGTACCAAGCCCTCATGAAGAAATGGCTGATTCCAGATCAAGGGTAGGAAATGTACAAGATAAACCCAGCACATCTTGTTATGCCAGAAAGCACAGAACTATCAAGGACTACTAAAGTCTTATCAAAAGGACTGAACAAAACAAAACAAAACAAAACAACAATTTGAAGAGGCTAAAGATACAATGATTTGAATACCATGACTAATAACTGCAAGTGATTAAAAGATTTCAGTTGTGTTTATTCCCACAAATTCAAAATGATACATAGTTACCTCCCACTAAGAAATCTCACAAACTTCCTTTGTCACCCTTGGAGACTGCTAGGGAACCACCTCTTTATTTTGGAAACTGGTAAACAAAGGGAAAGAATGTAACATTTATCTTTCTTTTCCTGAGCAAATTGTATCTCAGGGTTATTAAATGAGTGTTGAAGAAAATTTTCTCCTTCTAGGGACTAAATGAAGAAAGAATGACATACTTGGAAAATAACCATTTTGCAATCCCAAATTATGAAACAATGAATCTAGGAAATAATCATCAATGGATATGAACATACAAAAGAGAGAGACAACTAGAGGTTTCCTCTGCTTCTTGATAGATACACATAACACTACCTACAGAGCATTGTTACCAAAAAAATAATAGTTGAATCTGATTAAGCCTTTATCTAACTACCAAGTTACAAGAAATGCATCAGATAAACATGCTAAATGTTAACCATGGAAATTCAATGACCAAAACCCAGACTGGGAAAAACCTAGTTTCTTCAACAAGTAAATAATTAGAGAAAAAGAGACAAACAGAGACAGATAAATAGAAGAGAACCTATGAATTTAAAGAGATTTAAGAATTACAACAGCTATTTGCATAATATGGACCTTATCTGAATTCTGATTTACTCAGCCTATAAGAACACATTCTCACTCCAGACTTTGAAACAATTAGGGAAATTGGAACACTGACTGCATATTTAATGCTCTTAAGGAATTACTGCTCAATTTTAGGGTAGTATGATGGTATTGTGCTTATGGCTACAAAAAGGAGGACTTACTTTTAGATTTGCATAATAAAATATTTATGGATGAAATGATAAAATGTCTGAGATTAATTTCAAAATAATCTGATAGGGACAAAGTAGATCACATACAGATAAAACTAGGTTAGCTGTGAATTGATAATAATTTAAAGCTGGGTGATAGGTACTATTCTCTCTACTTGGATAACTAGCAGGGCATTAAAAAGTGAATTTAAACACAAGATTAAATGAAAAGGAAGATATGGACATCATTACGAAAAGCAGAAGGACTTAGCAAATGCTATGCAAGTATCACCAAAGTGGAGTGCTGAGGCCAACTAAATACATTCTTCGGGAGGTTGAATGTTTATGAAATAGCAGTCAAATCTCTTCTAATTAATTCCTCCAGGCCTCACTGGTAAGACAGGTTAAGGTTTCTTACAAATGCCTCCTAACACAGAGGAGACAGTCATCACAGGCTGACTCTCCCAGGAAAGCATACATGCCAGCAAGATCCAGATGCAGCCACCCAGTGAGAAGAGGCTGTGGTGGTAGCAGCAAGGTGGGAGAAAGGCCCAGCTCTGGGTTCTGTGGTTGAGCTATGGCCTGTTCTCATGGCTTCATGAACCCAAGGACTTCAACGCCCCCCATGAATCTGTGCAAGTGAAGCTGAGTGAGGCATGACACACAGTCATCGAAAATGGGAAAGAACCTCTTTGGTGGGAAAGGAAGACTAAAATCTTACATAGTGGATGTGCTTAGTTTTACTTATGTTATTTTCTGTCAGCATTATATATTTGAAATAACACTAGAGTCTGTTTTTTTAAAATTACAAATATAATAAAAGTGATTTTTAAGGCCTACAGAAGAATACTTAAAGGAGCCTGCACTATGAAAAGAAGACCAGGAACTGTGAAAGAAAAACAATCTGAATCTAGAAACAAAGGTAGGATTTGACATTCAAATTACTTATGATGACATTACCTTTACTTTTTTTCCCCAAGAAAATATGGAGTTCATATCAGTGATTCTCAGGAAGGAAGTGCATATTTACAGGATATAAAAGTGTAAGAAGTAAGCATCTGCAATTTAAAAAGAACTCCAGGTGATTTTGACGTACCTGTACCCCTGTAGATGACCAGTCGAGGACCAGTAGGGTGACTGGCCAAAGCCTGTGTGCTGCTAAAATGCACCTGAGATAACCAACGTGGTAAGTTGGCCATAACTGTTTTAAACACCTCTGTAAGCTAAGCAGAGCTGCAACTCCCTCACCACTCCATCACTGCCCATGATGAGCAGCTCTGAGCTGCGAGGATGGTCCAAGGAGGGTCAGAGGGGGTTCCACTGCAGGTCATCTGCTGGCAGGCACATGTACATATGTGCCTACCTGCACCACTGCTCCCTCGGCTGAGGGACGATGACAGGCAGATGATTACAGTACTCTTTGGAGTCAAACTTGTGAGCATCAAAGAACAGTGCTTGAAGAAGAGTGTTTAACTAGACACCAAAAATGCTTCTTGTATCTGTAATTTTCTTTCATCACCAACATGTCTGAGACTGTTACGGCTTCTGATGATGCTGACTAGTTCAATTTAGACAAAACATGCACACCAACAACAGCACCCCTAATTACAACCAATCCTGAGTTTCATTCTCATAACTGCCTTTTATGTCAGATAGGCTTGTTTCCTTGATAATTACAGCGTCCACAAACCTGTTTTTCCTCTACTAAGAAGAGGGGGATGACTGATGTAGATGGTACCTTCCATGCAGCATGTTCAAAAATGCAGTGCACTGAGCTGAAATGAGTAGCCAAATGCTACGCATCTTGTAGATATGAAGGGTCCTGGTTTCTAAGATTCTTTTCACTAAGGGCTCTCCCAACTACAAAGTGAGGCCTACAGTCTATAGAAGGGACAGTCAGATACATAGTGAGGCTTATAGTCTACAGAAGGGACAGTCAGATACACAGTGAGGCTTACAGTCTATAGAAGGGACAGTCAGATACACAGTGAGGCCTATAGTCTATAGAAGAGACAGTCAGATACACAGTGAAGCCTACAGTCTATAGAAGGGACAGTCAGATATACAGTGAGGACTATAGTCTATAGAAGGGCCTGGACAACAGGTGGAAAAAAATGCCCTCCCCACAACCCTCCATCACCACAATTCTATACAGCCTACAGAAGTAAAAAACACTAATATCAGGTAATTCTTCAAACTTGCTAACTTTCAAATTACCTAAAAGTCACACAAATTATTAACATTTATATTTAATGTTAAAATTATGTTCACAACAAAATTAAAACAGGCAGCTATTTCAGTTGTGCTCTAAACACTCTCTAGATCGGAACATTTTCCACTCTTGCTACTTTATTAATATTATTCTCCAAATTAATATTATTCACCATAAGTAAAGGATTAGGTTTTAGATGCAGCAGATGTTAGGAAGATTTAGATTGTGACCATTCAAAGAGTTAATAAACATTTGCAAGTTACACTCATCTTTCCCATTATAGTTATCTCCATGTTTTTAGGACATAGGTCAATATGGACACGCGTGCTAACATGAACAAAACTTGGGAAGGAGAGGAGAAATCAGTCCCTTTGTAAAGGTACAGAATTCTGTTTTAGACCACAAGGCAGGGCCATCGTATCCTCCAGCACTGGAACATACGAAGTCCCTTCTCAAAGGAAAGTGCAATAAAGGGACAGAATCAAGGATCTAATTGATCTAAGCATGATCTTTGCAGCAGGTGACTGAAAACCTATGGGCATGGGGAAAAAAGCAGAATAAGCAGTCTGGAATGGCAAAGCCAGTCATGATACTTGGAATGTCGAGAGCTGGGATGGACTGTACACAATGCCTACACTACCCATTTACTGAAAATAAAAACAAAACAAGACAGAAAACCAAGCAAAGGATTACACCAAAATTTAAATTTCTCTTTCCAAATATCAGTCAGGCAGTATTTCCCACCCACTTACTTGACTTTTGCATTGACAATTCAAAAGTGACGATTCAGTCACTTTGGTCTTATTTAAATTATATGGAGGTACTTCTGTGAGATGAACTTTCTTGAGGCTAAATCAGGCAAATATGAATTCATACATCCATGAAAAGAAGATACCGTCATAACTAAGCATACCATTCATATCAAATCAAAGGCCAAAATACCTGCACAGCCATGGAAAGTCTGAACATCCAATCAATATTATACAGATTTTTCTTCAAACTCACCTATCATTAAATCCCTTGGTGTGAAGGGCTTCACCTGACTATCACAAGCATTCCCTACATAGGAAATCTGAATGAACTACTAAAATATTTTCAATTCTTAACCATCAGTACAATACTTACATTCATTCTTTTAAGTTCATTGGAATTACTATTTTGAATACTTGTTAAAAATGTAAGACATTCCCTATGTCACTCAGCAATAAGGCATCCAAATCAACCAGAGTCCTTAGAACTGACTAAGATGAGTTAACAGAGTAACAAATATTTGAAGATAAAGTATCTAAATATAACTACAAAAAATGTAAGTGTAATACTTACCTATCAGCCCCTTCTCAAGAGTGAAGGTTTTGTTTGTAAACATACATTCAAAAGCCACAATGTGAAAAATCTTGTTCACTGTGTTGTGAGTCCCAACAATTCGAATATACCTGATGGTAAAAAGGAAAGAAAATCTATTGAAAATGAGCTCCCACCACAACCAATCCAAGGATAACAGAGTAAGACACGTCACTTAAAAATACAGTGCACAAGAATGTAGACCAAAGGAGACTCTCAGCTTGTCTTCAAAACCTGTATCTGCTCCTTTTGGGTACCCCCAACTGAACCTAGAAGAATTATACCAAAATAAGGGAGATGTCATTTTGCAGAGAATTAAGTAGAACTTATATTAATTTGATTTATTCAGAAAACCAAACCAGGTACTGTTCAGTTCAACCCTTGAATGTCAGTCAGGTACATGACCATACGACATTTATACCGGAGAATGACAAATAGCTTCTACTCTTATGGTTAGGAATGTGCCTGAGCACATGTGCACAATCAAATGCTTTCCAGCTCAATGGCAGATTTCATCAAGTGGAGATGAATGCATGAAATCAATACTGCTTTCTTGTTTAAAAGGAAAAATCCAGAAACTACTGAAAATGACTCACAATTTCTTTTAATATTGTTCCTAAATCTTTAGGAAGTTAACCGTATATACTTACGCCAGCCCCCTACTTGACTGCTGGGAGGTCTCCTGACCAGAGGAAGTGATCTGCAGAGATGGCCCAGCCTGCTCTGCAGCCTCCCTCCTGGCCACATGAATCTGGCATCTGCACACAGTGCACAGTTTCACTGGGCAGCCCTTGAGTATCTTGGGCTGTTCATCCTCTTTAACTCCCTAGAGACTTCATCTCCAACAAACAAGCATTAACCTTGGAGTAACTTGCTCTCTTCGCTCTCCAGAGGGACCTGACAGTTCACAGGTTAATGAACAGACAAGCTCACTCTTCTGAATGTCACACAGTTCCACGGGGGATCTGCCACACACTGTCTTACTGGAATTCAAAGGAAGAACCAGGAAAAATAACTAGATTAACTGATAATGCTCTCCCAGTATGCGCTCTGAAGGATGGGGCATATCAAATGAACAGATTTCAATTAGAATATGACAGACTGGGCAAGGTTTTAGTAATATCTTCACCTCTGCTGTGTAAAACAACCTTCAATTTAGACGATATAATTTTACTTCTGAGTTAATCACTGTTCACTAATTTGGTAATTTCCTTACATTTCTCATCAGTCCAAGTTACTGTATAATGTAAATACTGATTTAGAAAATTTACATTAAGGAGACTGTATCTGGGGTTTTTATATCATGGGCTATTTTCCCTCCTGGTTCTTCAAGCCTAACTCTCATGGCATTCCCTGTGCACCTCATTTAGCCATCTGCTCCTTGACACAAGCTGATCACTCACCTTCATAACCAATATTAACGCTATCTCCTGAACTGACTGGTGTGCTCACACCTACTGCAGGGAGGCACCATTCTTCCTGTGTTGAGAATCAGGGCAACTGCTACATGTACCAGAACCCACTGGTGAAGCAGGAAGGGTTGGCCCTAATCTCTTCCTTTGAGCCCTCAAGGCAGACAGAAGGTGCTGATTTTACTGGGTTTGGGTGGGTAGGTGGGTTCATTCAACGTAAGTTCTTAATGGTCTGGGTAGTAGAGATTATATCATCCTTCACTTTGGCAGCGACAGTCTCCTTGGTGCTTTCTGGAAGGGAAGGGATGTATTAATTCTGGCACCTTGGTCTGAATCTCATTTTGTCCATTTCCTAAAACCCACAGGAATGCAACCATCATAGCATTTTCCACTGTATATGGCTGTGACAGCCTGAGCGCTGCTGTCTGCAACCTTGGAGGGAATAGAGGGAGTGTGGTTCCGTGGAATTTGATCAGATCATTTTGCTATTCTCTAGCTCAAGTCTCTACCAAAGGAGAGGCAGCTCTCCTACTGTGTACAGAAGAGCCAGGAAGTGACTAACAGGACATTTTCCCGCTGGCGGTCCTCAAGGTTAATATAGTCCAGGCTGAACTAAGGGGATGCAATAACATTCCTTCCCCCTGTTCTTTCTTTTAAAAGACTGTGTGGAATCAGGTTTTCCAAGTTTAGATAACTAATTTCCTAAATTTTACCGAGTGCAAACATTAGGAATGAGAGAAAATATGCAAACTTCCCCTCCCTCACCCGCCAGTTATAGGCAACTGAGAATAAAAAGTTATATTGGAATACATTTTATACTCTTAATGATAGCATTTGTGATAACAAACAAAATAATATATATGGTTGGAAAAGCATTGAAAGATGCCTCCAGATAAAAAGTTTTGTATAAATGAAGATAATGTTATCTCTGTTGCATAATTCTGAGGTCAAATTAGCAATTTGCCATTGTACACCATACTTTTTGATCAGCCTGTTATTTGCAACACTCATAGCAAGTTTAATTATTCTAGTTATACAGTGCTTTCTAAGTCTCTAGAAAATTATAGCATAATTTGCAAAAATGGCATAAAGTCCCTACTCAAATATACATTTAAAAACATGTGACATCAAAAGAAAGAAGCCAAGCTCCTTCTCAAGCAAAAAGTTGTAAATATCCTGGACTTTTCCCCAATCTAAAGATCTAGACTAGAAATGACAAAAGGCTTCAACTAATGGCCTGACATCAATGGTTAATAGGAGTGGCCTGAAGCTCTACATTAAGAATTCAGGGCTGGGCAAGGTAGCCCTGTAATCCCAGCACATTGGGAGGCCTGGGTGGGTGAATTACAAGGTCAGGAGTTCAAGTCCAGTCTGGCCAAGATGGCAAAACCCCATTTATACTAAAAATACAAAAATTAGCCAGGCATGGTGACACGCTCCTGTAACCCCTGCTACTTGGGTGGCTGAGGCAGGAGAATCGCTTGAAACCAGGAAGCGGAGGTTGGAGTGAGCTGAGATCATGCCACTACACTCTAGAGTGGGTGACAGAGTAAGATTCTGTCTCAAAAAAATTTAAAAAAAGAAAAAAAGAGGCCCTGTCCAGCACAGGAGTAGTGCCTTGATCCATGAGCAATGACTAAAAAGGGGAAGAGGCAGCACACGTACCATCCTTGATCATGAGCATATTTCCTTAATGGGGCTCACAATGGAGCATCCCAAGGTAAAAGAAGTTACTACTACCCATGTTACTGAAAAATCCAAGGGAGAGGAATGGGAGAATCTTCTTTCTTTTTGCTTTTTTTGAAAGGCAAAACTAAACTTGGTTCTAAACACCAAAACAGGAGAAGCAGGTATCACATTTTCTCTGTCCCATGAAATCCTGAATATAGGTAAAGTTTAAGATTTATTTCTTTGCTTTTTTAGCGCAAGTCAGACTCTGATTTAACCAGACAATAAGGGCAGAGGCAGCTAGTGACTTCATCAGTGTATAGAGAGGAGAACCGCTGAAAAATAGAACAGATATCCTTTGTTCTTGCTGAGGTCCTCAACAGCAGCTCAGACAGTTGGAAGATAATTACAACTTAAACAGTGCAGAGGAAGGCAGATATGCAACAGATTGGCCATTTCTGATGAGGATGAATGCTGTCCACGTGAGCCGTAGTGTAATAGTCTGTCTCCAATATTCTCCTCCCTTCCCTATGTTAGCTGTCTTCAAGTATCTGACAAAGAACGGATACTGAACATAGCTCAGAACAGAATGTTTCAGTACAGAAATTCCTAGGAGCTATAAGATTGTGGGTGAATGAGATTCTGTCTTCTTTAATAAAATAAAACTGAAACCCTCCAAGGACAGCACTCAAAAACTGAAAGGCACTACCGAGTTTTGACACAACGTGGCTTTTAGAGTCCAACAGAATCAGTTGTGTAGCCCAGCTCCATCACTTAATTGTGTCACTTAAGGGGAGAAAAGAAAAAAAAAAAAAAAATATATATATATATATAAAATTATGTATATTATATACAAATAGATATAAAGTATATATTATTAAAACATATAATTATATATATGCATATATATATATATATATATATATATATATATATATATAAATTTTTTTGAGACAGAGTCTCTTTCTGTTTCCCAGACTGGAGTACAGTGGCACAATCATGTCTCATTGCAGCCTCAACTTCTGGGCTTAAGTGATTCTCCCACCTCAGCCTCCCAAGTAGCTGGAACTACAGGTATGCATCACCACGCCTAGCTAATTTTTTTCTAGAGATGTTGCCCGCACTGGTCTCAAATTTCCAGGCTGAAATGATCTACCTGCCTCCGCTTCCCAAAGTGCTGGGATTACAGGTGTGACCCATTGCATCTGCGCCCCCCCCCCAATTTTTTTTTTTAAACTTAAGTTTCCCCCTCTATAAAATGAGGTCAATAACAAACTTTTTAGGGTATTTAAATGAGACAAGTATTTTAAATATCTAATGCAGTGCTTGGCAGAGTAGGATACCATTAGACAAAAATTCAAAGAGTAGATGATAGGATACAGAATTTCGTGGTTAGGACTTTGAGAACACTGGTTTTCTTGGAGAGTAGTTAGTCCCCTTTATCTGTGGTTCTGCTTTCTGTAGTTTCAGTTACCTGCAGTACAGTACAATATTTGGAGACAGTACAGTATTTGGAGAGAAAGACCATATTCCCATGACTTTTTTCACAGTATATTGTTATAATTGTCCTATTTTATTATTAGTTATTGTTGTTAATCTCTTACTGTGCTTAATTTATAAATTAAACTTTGCCATAGGTATGTATGCATAGAAAAACATACAGTGTATATATAGGGTTCAGTACTATGCAGAGTTTCAGGCATCCACTGAAGGTCTTGAAATTTATCCCCTGAGGATATGGAGGGGACTACGGTATTACTGACTTTAGATGTTAAAATGGTGCATCCATGGGGAGACAGGCCAAGGAGAAGACTTCAGGAACACAGGAAGGGACTTGTCCTTCCTCTTAGGGCACCACAGTATGGGGACTATGGACCACAGAAAGCAAGCAACGTTCCGAATGTAGATTTCCTGGCTATAGGGCACTTCTTGCTTTAATCCTCTGGTTTTTAAAAAATGTTCTTGATCTGTCTTAGCTAAGCATGAGGACGCAAGGGAAGAATCTTCTGATC